ATAGACATTCAAGCAGGTAAAAGACCCATACAAAACAAAACAGGGGCTAGTGTGTTAGTTTGGGTTTTACAGCTGTGAACAGACACCATGACCAAGGCAGCTCCTATAAGGACAACATTTAATTGAGACTGGCTTACAGGTTCAGAGGTTCAGTCCATTATCATCAAGGTGGGAGCATGGCCACATCCAGGCAGGCATGGTGCAGGAGGAGCTGAGAGTTCTACATCTTCATCTTAAGGCTGCTAGCAGAATACTACCTTCCAGGCAGCTAGGACAAAGGTATTAAAGTTGACACCCACAGTGACACACCTACTTCAACAAGGCCACACCTCCCAACAGTGCCATTCCCTGGACCAAGCAAATACAAACCATCACAGCTGGAGGGATGGCTTAGTGGATAAGGGCACTGGCAGTTCTTCCAGAGGACTGGGGTTCAATTCCCAGCACTCACAAGGCAGCTCATGACTGTCTGTAACTCCTCTTCCAGGGGATCTGACACTCTGACACAGACACATATGCAGGCAAAACACCAGTGCACACATAAAAAAAAATTAAAAACAGAACACAATTGAGAACAAAATAAAAGTTTGACAAAATTATTGGCACCTGACTCTTATGACTTTTTGTAATGTACTAGTCAAAAACTTGAAACTACCCAGCTTGTGACACATTTCAGACACACCAGAAGAGAGTATCAGGTCCCATTACAGACGGTTGTGAGCCACCATGTGGTTGCTGGGAATTGAACTCAGGACCTCTGGAAGAGCAGTCAATGCTCTTAACCACTGTGCCATCTCTCCAGCCCCAGTGTACCATGTTTCTATTGAACAGAGCAATGTTAGATGTCCAGACAAGAATAGGAACAGTTACCCATCAGCTTGACAGAATGCAGAATCCCCCCCAAGAGGCAGGCCACTAGGCAGGCCTAGAAAGAATAATCTTGATTACATTAATTAAAGTTAATCCGAAGACCCGCCCACCATGGGTAACACCATTCCCTTGGCAGGAGAACCTAGACTGTGTAAGTGGACAAATCAAGTTGAGCATTAGCGTCCACTGCTTCACTGCTCCCTGTGTTTGACACTGGCTGTAATGTGACCAGCTTCCTCTCCATCCCCTTGTTGCTGCGACTTCCTCGTTATGATGGACTGAAATCTGAAATTGTGAGCCCAATAACTTCTCTCTGGAGCTGCTTTTGTCAGGATTGTTTGTTTGTTTGTTTGTTTGTTTGTTTTTTCAAGACAGGGTTTCTCTGTGTAGCCCTGGCTGTCCTGGAACTCACTCTGTAGACCAGGCTGGCCTCGAACTCAGAAATCCACCTGCCTCTGTCTACCAAGTGCTGGGATTAAAGGCGTGCGCCACCACTGCCCGGCTTTGTCAGGATATTTTATCACAGCAACAGAAAAGAAACTCGGGGGTAAAGGCGGAGTTAGCCTTCTTCCTACCTAATACCTTTCCAACACAGGAGAAGGCGTTTGTCATCCCTGAGATAAAACGAGGCTCTCAGTTCTTCCTCCACAGAGTCTCATGGCAACATAGCTGTGGAGAGGCTTCCACAAGACAAGATACCCCGGAAATGCCGAAGAATCTGAGTCTTGGAGGGAGCAGAAACTCCTGGTGTCATCTGACATGTGTCAGGCACGAGCATCTTCCCCATCCACCCTGCTCTATCCCGTCTGTAAGGGATTCCAAGGTTGCCTGGCAAATGGGGAATCAAGTGAATATCAATCTTGACTAAGACCCATATGCCTTCATTGAAGGTGAAAGCAGGCCGGGAGGTGGTGGCGCACGCCTTTAATTCCAGCACTTGGGAGGCAGAGACAGGCGGATTTCTGAGTTCGAGGCCAGCCTGGTCTACAGAGTGAGTTCCAGGACAGCCAGAACTACACAGAAAAACCCTGTCTCGAAAAACAAAAAACAAAAAAAAAGAAGGTGAAAGCTGCCTCTCTAGACTTGGCCACAAACCTTGAGTGAAAAGCCAAGACCACAAAGAGCTCCGTGGCTGTGGCTGCTGGTGACTAAGACCTCAGCGGGTCCCGGAGGGATTCCACTTGCCTGTGTCCTAGCATCAGTTACTGTTTGCTATCTGGGGCAGAGACGATGAGCAGCAGGTGGAGAGCTGGAAGTCGGAGGTCCAGCTCCCTGGCTAACTAACTGTGTGCCTGGAGACTCAGCTTCTTCACCTGCAGGTAGGTCTGACCCAGTTTTGAATGAGACAGAGAAGCCGTTCCAATCACAGCGGGCGGGGCCTTCTGTTTAGCAAACCTGCATGGAAGCTGTGCACTTTCGTTAAGTGTATCTGAAGGCATCAGAAGTGCTGCAGAGTCAGCTTCTTGTCATTGTTTCTTATGGATGACACCAGGACCCAGCAGATGAGCAAAGCCTGCAAGCTAATCATTCTGTAACTGTATCGAGGAAGTTGTAGCTTGGCAGAGAGCAGGTCTCAGGGAACCAGGGTGGGTCCTAGGGAAGTTAGGCAAGGCTGGAACATGGCTATCATCAATACTGAGGATCTGTGGCGACCCTACCCATCCTCAGATGATTAGGAAAATGGTGAAGGTGGGGGGTGATGGTGAAGATGAAGATGAGGGTGAAGATGAAGATGATGGTTACTTTTTTCATTGTTGTGGCAACAATGAAAACCCAACCCAATAAAAGCAACTTAAATAAAAAAAAAGCAAGCTGAGCATCAGCTCTCATCCCTCCCGACTGTGGTTTAGTGTGCACCTCTGTTCCCACTGTCATGCTCTGGCTGTCATGATGAACTACTGCACTATCAAACCACGTGCTAAAAGCTAAAAACTCCTTCCTTCCTCAAGATGCTTTAATCACACCTCATGTGGATTCTTTTTTTGAGAAAAATATTTATTTATTTTATGTATATGAATACACTGTAGCTGTCTTCAGACACACCAGAGGAGGGCATTGGATCCCATTACAGATGGTTGTGAGCCACCATGTGGTTGCTGGGAATTGAACTCAGGACCTCTGGAAGAGCAGCCGGTGCTCTTAACTGATGAGCCATCTCTCTAGATCTTTTTTTTTTTTTTAAATAAACAGAATTTCTTGGACAGTCCAGTTACATAGTCTCAAAATAAATAAATAAATAAAAAGACAGCGTCTTTTGCTGTAGTTCTGGCTGACATGGAACTTGATACTTACACCTGCTGGGATTAAAGTCAAGAAGCAGAAAGATTTTTTAAATGTATTTATCTTCCGTAACAGGGTTTTTCTGTGTAGAACCTGGCTGTCCTGGAACTCACTCTGTAGATCAGGCTGGCTTTGAACTCAGACATCCATCTGCCTCTGCCTCCCCAAGAGCTGAGATTAAAGGTTTGCCACCACAGCCTGGCCTAGTTTAATTTTTTAAAAGTCATTTGACCGGGTTTCATGTATCCCCGAACCCGAGTCTCTTCCCTTGGCCTCTGAATTGCTGGGGTCACACGAATGAGCTGCCAGGTTTCCACAACTATGCCCTTTCTCCTTTTTAATTAATTTCAGTCCGGGAAGCCCAGCCCATGGAATCTTGACATCTAAATTAGGGTGGGCCTTCCCACTTTAATTAGCCTAATCTAGAAAATCCCTCATGGACATGCCCAGAGGCACGGACTCCATTCCTCATTGCTGTAAATATCAAAGAAAAGGACTCTATTCCAAAACACCTACGTAGCTGTGTCTGGCTCGCCGCCTCCAGGACTGGAACTGCCCTTGTTTGCTCCGACGTCTTAAGGGGGGGCCACTAGTATGCAGGGTGCTAGTTCCTACTCCAGTGCATTCTCTGATCCTAGAACTTTAGCTGAGTTCATTAGGTGATTAGCTCAGCCACGTGTCACTTATCTAATCAGCTGCGACCAGGAGGCAGCTGGCTTTGTCTTGTCACTGGGCCAAACCAAGAATTCCCGAGGGGCTCCAATGTTGTGCTCTCCCAAAGGCCTACTTTGCAGGGGTGGCCTTACGAATGTAGAATGGTTACTATGGCTGCACCTAAGCCTCCAGAAAGGACGCTGGCTGTGAGGCTCCAGGGCATAGCACACTCAGGAGGCGGGAACACCAAGTTTCCAAACTTACTACTTCTAAATCCTGGTCCTTTACGCCACAGCTGCCGATGGGATTTAAACCGACGCTCTGGACTGTGCGTGCTCCCCCCACCTCCTGAGAAGTCTCCTTGCTCTCCAGGTTTCCCAGATCCTGCTTCTCTGCTGTCCCCTCCCCCTCATGGGAGCCACCTTTGCCCAAAATGACAGTACTGTCTGCATGGCCACTCCCTCCAGGAGTGTTGGGAGCGTTGGGTGGCGGTGACTGCCAGGTGATGAGGAAAGCAGACCTGCGTGGCCTCTCTGGATTTCCCATGCTTCTAGGCCGCTTCCTGCCATGGCCTAACTCCAACCCCTGCACTCCTTAACCCGGATGTGGGCGGGAAAATGAGATGCTTTTGGAGCCTGTTCGGCGGCACGAGTCGTCCTGTGTACTCATCTCACGCGTGGGACCGGACTCAGACACAGCAATTTTGCTAGCCTTCGAGGAGACCGGGCTATTATTTTGTAAATGTAACTGGAGCAGAAGCGTCACCCTTCACGTGATCCTCTTTGCTGGGCCAAGAGCTGTCCGGCCGCAGCCGCTGCTGTCCACGCTGCGCGCCAAGTGGCTTTGAGAGCCTTAGGCGCCACAGCCCAGCAGCGCGCGGAAACGACGCGGGTAGCGGATGTGCTACGCCGCATGTCAGAGAGCCAATGCACAGGAGTCAAACAGTATCCTGTCCCGAACCTTCCACCCCAACCTCCACCCACGGCCGCTCCCATTCTCGGTCACTCAATCCAAAACTGCCGCGGGGGTGGAGGAGGCGGCGTGGCGCATGCGTGTCTCGGTGCACACTAGCGCGCATGCTCCGGAGCATGCACGTTTCCCCCTCCGAGAGCTGTGCCCGATGGTACGGCCTGGGCGGGGCGAGGCTGGAGCCGCGAAAATTGCACGAAATCCGCGGGAACTAGCTTTTTGGCGCCATGGCGCAGAGTCGTGTTACCGATTTCTATGCGTGCCGTCGCCCGGGCCTGACTACTCCACGGGCCAAGTCGACCTGTCTCACCCCGAGCCCTGGTGGGCTCGTGGCTCCTGAGATCACCCGGAGCAGCAGCCGCAAGCGCGCCCGGCCCCCCGCCGAACCCGGGAGCGACCTGCCCGCGCCGCCCGCGCGCCGGAGGCTACGGCTGCCTGGATTGGTGAGGCGCTCGGGGGACCCCAGAGGACCCTTGGTTAGGAGAGGAAATCCTGGTTATCGGGCGCCGAGATAGAGGGAAGAATAGAGTCGTGAGCAGGCTGGCCGCTCCTTCCTCTCCCCCAGGGGAGTGAGCCATTGCCGACGTGTGCAGAGGTTACCTGGGCTTCCTGGGAGGCTGCAGCTGGCCGGGGTGATTGTGGTGGTGTGGGTGTTCCGCAAAGGATTGGCTTGGAGCTCTTGAAATGGAGGGAGGGCATTGGGGAGTCAGGGCTGGAAGCTGCTTCAAGGAGAAACAGGCCCAGCAGACCAGGTGGATCTTTACTATTTGTTCATGAAGTGTCTGAATAGGCAGGCACCCCCAGCCCTGACTCCTGCTCTCCGGGTGCAGTGAACTGACAGCCTAGTTCTGGGTCTGCGGGCCGAACGAATACCCCTCCCCACCCCAGTTTATTGTTCTGTGCCTTCTGAATCACCAGGACTCCTGCGCCAGTTCCCTAGCTGATTCCGGCTCCATACCGAATCCCAGCCCCCCAGCTGATCCCAGCCCCCCAGCTGTTCCCAGCCCTCCAGCTGATCCCAGCCCCCCAGCTGACCTTGGCTTCCCGGTTTGCCCATCCCCCGTCAAGAGAACAAAGAGTACCGCTGTTTCTGGAGGTCGACAGCGGGACAAGGTGAGGAGGCTGGATTGAGGGTAGACTGTGGACAGGGATATATATAACTTGCAGAACTGACAGTACCTATGTCCCCAGGTCCCCTCAGAGGACTCCATCTCCGAGCTCCAGTCCTGCCTGAGGCGGGCACGGAAGTTGGGAGCCCAGGCACGGGCCCTGAGAGCCAGAGTGCAGGAGAATGTTGTGGAGCCTTGTACCCCAGATGCCAAGGTGTCCACTGAGCAGCCATGGTGAGTCCTGGTGGGCCGCACGGTCCAGGAGAGGACAGGCCTTTGGGAGGCACTGTCGGGTCTGAGTGTATGGGTGGCTGTGGGGCTTGGAGCCAGATTGCCTAGACCATATCCTAGTCTCCTCCTCCCTGGCACTATGCCCTGTCCCCCACCTGAAAAGGGACATTGTCACTCCTGCTCCTGGCTCGTTCTAAGTACTATGAACAGCGGTGGATTCCGTGCCTGTCTGTGACTCTGCGTCTCTGAGCTGAGAGTGCAGAGCTAGTGTGTGGGGCAGGCTTCTTGTCCCTTTCTGATGCTTCTCTCACAGGCAGCATTAGACATGCTGGGACTTTGCAAATGGGTAGTTTTGGGGTTCTGGGTAATAGTCTCCTCTCGTACCTACCCTGTGGTCTGATGGTGGAGGGGGGGGTCTTGGGGGGGGGGGGGCTGATGGGGGGGGGGGGTCAGACCCTGTGGTTTGATAGTCTAATGGGAATGCTTCCCTTTGACAGTGTCGAGAAAGCTCCTGCCTACCAGCGCTTCCATGCCCTGGCCCAGCCTGGTCTCCCGGGCCTTGTCCTACCATACAAGTATCAGGTGCTGGCTGAAATGTTCCGAAGCATGGACACCATCGTGAGCATGCTTCACAATCGCTCTGAGACTGTGACCTTCGCCAAAGTCAAGCAAGGCGTTCAGGAGATGATGCGCAAGTGAGTCATGTGGGGGGAGGGGTGTAGCTGCCCGCGGTGATGTCCGCCCGATGCCGACCTACCTGGTCCTTCGCACCCCATCCTCTCTCCCGTAGGCGCTTTGAAGAGCGCAATGTGGGCCAGATCAAAACTGTGTATCCCGCATCGTACTGCTTCCGCCAGGAGTGCAATGTCCCCACCTTCAAGGACAGCATCAAGAGATCTGATTACCAACTCACCATCGAGCCCTTGCTAGGCCAGGGTGAGTCTTTGGCAAGGCCTTGAGTGTTTTCCCTCCTCTTGGACTTGGGGCTGAGCTCGAGGTGTTGGTCCTAGGCCTGGTGTTTTGATCTCAGTCATGGGCTGGGCAGTTGGATGGGCCTGGGCTCACCACGGTTTTACCTTGCAGAGGCCGGTGGTGCCACCCAGCTCACAGCCACGTGCCTCCTGCAGCGCCGGCAAGTCTTCCGGCAGAACCTGGTGGACCGAGTCAAGGAGCATCACAAGGTGAGTGCCTGGGTTTGTGGAGGCAGTTACAGCAGGTTCAGTCCCTGCTCTAAGTGGACGGTAGTCTTAATTACTCTGGTCCCTATTCAACTCCTGTTCTGGCCTCAGATATAAAGGTTCCTCTCAGCCAGGTAGTGGTGGCGCACATCTTTAATCCCAGCACTTGGGAGGCAGAGGCAGGCAGATTTCTGAGTTCGAGAGTTTGAGGTTAGCTTGGTCTACAGAGTGAGTTCCAGGACAGCCAGGGCTACACAGAGAAACCCTGTCTCGAAAAACCAAACCAAAAAAAAAAAAGGAAAGGTTCCTCTCAGTCCTTGTCTCAGTGGGGGTTTTTACAGCCATGAACAGACCATGACCAAGGCAACTCTTAAAAGGACAATATTTAATTGGGGCTGGCTTACAGGTTCAGTCCATTATTATCATGGTGGGAGCCTGGCAGCATCCAGGCAGGCATGGTGCAGACTTTTTTGGTTTGGGATTTTTTGGGATTAAAGGCGTGTGCCACCACTGCCCGGCAAGAGTTCTACATCTTCATCTGAAGGCTGCTAGCCTGGAAGATTGGCTTCCAGGCAGCTAGGATGAGGGTCTTAAAGCCCACACCCACAGTGACACACCTACTCTAAGAGGGCCAAACTTTCTAATAATGCCACTCCCTAGACCAAGCATATTCAAACCACTACAGTCCCTTACTATGGTTCTCTTTAAATGTAAGGAGGGCTGATGCCTACCCTATAGGCTGAAGCTGGGGCAGAGCTGCCCGGAACTCCAAAGCTGTGGAGTCCAGGATTACATCAAGACCCTGAGAGGATGTTTGTCTCATTTATTTAACCATGGCCATGTTTAACTACACATGCCTTTCCTTATGTTATACCTGGCTGTGTCTGGGCACAGAACAGCTGAGTTGATTCTCTAGTTGGAGATACTGAAATGAGTACCCCAACATTCCTCCAGGCTTTCCTGGCTTCGCTGAGCCCCCCCATGACGGTGCCAGAAGACCAGCTGACTCGCTGGCACCCGCGTTTCAATGTAGATGAGGTACCCGATATCGAACCAGCTGAGTTGCCCCAGCCTCCGGTCACAGAGAAGCTCACCACTGCCCAGGAAGTGTTGGCCCGTGCCCGGAGCTTGATGACACCCAAGGTGAGGCTCTCTGACTTCTAATTTCATTCCTTTCTCCTCAGGGAGTATGGCAGGAGGGTGGGGGTAACAGCGGAGTGCCTCCAGGTTACCTCATCCTTCCTCCGCTAAGGGCACACAGTAGTAAGATGTGCTTTGTACGCATGCGTGCAGCTAATCTGGCTCTTTGTGTGTATGTGTGTGTGTACATATGCATACACACATAACACACATACACATATATACATATATACATATACATATATATATATACACACCATATACTAGGGCGGGGCCCATGTAAAGAGCTGCCCTCAAGGTTGGGAAGTTTGTGAATCTTTTGTGACTTCTGACCTGTGCCTGCTCTGCAGATGGAGAAGGCCTTGAGTAACCTGGCCCTGCGCTCAGCTGAGCCCAGTAGCCCTGGGACCTCTAGTGCAGCACCCCCAGCCACCCCACCAACCACCCCAGCCACCCCACCAACCACCCCACCTGCTGCCTCTCCGAGTGCCCTGAAGGGTGTGTCGCAAGCACTGCTGGAGCGGGTGAGTCCTGGGTTGTGGTTAGGGGTCTTGGCGACAGGAGAGGGCTTTCCTTGGTGACCATTTCCTGCTGACCCATCCCTATGCAGATAAGGGCCAAGGAGGTCCAGAAGCAGCTGGCAAGGATGACGCGGTGTCCCGAGCAGGAGCTTCGGCTGCAGCGGTTAGAACGTTTGCCAGAGCTGGCCCGCGTGCTGCGTGGTGTCTTCGTGTCTGAGCGGAAGCCGGCACTCACTATGGAGGTTGTCTGTGCAAGGATGGTGGATAGTTCCCGAGCTGTCCTGAGCCTAGGTTTGTGCAAAGCAAGATAGGGGTGAGGGTGGGCATGGTCGTGCTCACTCTGTTCTTGGCAAGGAGCTGGGCCCATTTCTGACCAGGGACAGTTTGCCTGCCATGGTCTCGTTGTACTCCCCCCCACCCCCCAATTCTGCCACTTATTGGTTTGTTCAACCAGTCTTGGAGCATGTGAGTATTGCCTCTGCTGTTCCTTCTCCTGGTGCTTGAACAGTGTCCAGGGACCCCATGGTTCTTGGCTCTGTTTGGATCCACTGTACATAGCAGTGGATAAGTATTGACAAAGGCCTATTGTGGGGTGTCGGGTACCTTGGTGGGTGAGAGAGCAAGCCATCTAGGTTTAAACCCATAATCCACTTGTGCAGGGGAGATGGAGAAACACCTGTTGCTCCTGGCCGAGGTTCTGCCCGACTGGCTCAGCCTGCATCGAATTCGCACCGATACCTATGTCAAGCTGGACAAAGCTGCTGACCTGGCTGACCTCACTGCGAGGTTGACCCACCATGTCCACGCCGAGGGGCTGTGACTTTGAATTCCTTGCCCGATGTTTGTTTCATCGGTACACAAAGGCACATAAGTTTCCCTTTCTGCATCACAGGCCTAAGGGGGTACCTATCGCTGGTGTGGGCAGCTGTGGTGCCCGTGGATCTCATGAACTGCTGGTGTTACGTTGGTTCCTGAGGCTTTGGGGGTATTCCAGACTCAGCTCCAGGGGAAGTAGACTCTTGGAGAGTAGGGTATGTGGATGCCCATTCCACAAACTACTCAAGTACTAGGTATAGTCAAGATCAAGGTCCGGATGCAAGCCTAGGCCAGCATAGCCTCGCCTCTCTATGCTTCGCCAAACTATAAGAGCTCAGAGCCTTAAGAATCAGACAGACCTTGACTTCTGGTTTCACTCTCGAGTGAAATCAGGCCATCTGTAAATATGTAAAGTTTGATTTCTCTTTAAACCTTCGATTACTTACATATGGCCCTGCATGTGACTAAGTTTTGGCTTTTAATAAAGTCATGTAAGGTTTAAATAAATTACTACCGAGATTAAACTGAACCTGTCACTATAAAAATCTCTTTAAATGTGCCCTGCTCTAGTACGATGTATTTTATTTTCTAAATGTTTTTGTAGCTCTGGCTTTCTTAGAACTATATAGACCAGGTTAGTCTGCCTGTCTCCAAAGCGCTGGGTGTACACCATTGTGCCCTGCAACAAAACTGACTGAGCTGGTCATGGTGGTGCATACTTTTGATCCCAGCACTCAAGAGTCAGAGGTAGGGCCGGGCAGTGGTGGAACACGCCTTTAATCCCAGCACTTGGGAGGCAGAGGCAGGCAGATTTCTGAGTTCCAGGCCAGCCTGGTCTACAGAGTGAGTTCCAGGGCAGCCAGGGCTACACAGAGAAACTGTCTCTTTGAAAACCAAAAAAAAAAGTCAGAGGTAGGTAAGTTTGAGGCCAGCCTGAGGTATAAATTGAGTCCAGGATAGTCCGGGCTGGCTACATTAAGAAACCCTGTCTCGAAAAACAAAAAAATATGATGGCTGTGGGCCCCTGCTTTCATTTTGGTCCTAAAGGAAAGGTAGCCTAGAAAAGCTGGAATAAAGCTGTTTAGGCTACATTTATGTAGTCAGCTGTCCCTGAGACTTACAGAGGCAATATCTGCTTCCTAGGTAGGGGTTGTGACTTCTATACAAAGCTGAGCCTATGGGTTCCCACCTGTTTGAGGTCCACCCACAGAGTGACATAGCCCCCTGTCCCAGTAATGTCACTCTGGAACCACAGAATGTGACCCGTGCAACAAAGTGAGGAGAAGCAGGGCGTGTATCAAAACCGTTTATTGATCTCCAGTAGTGCAGCTCTGTGCTACTCCAGAGTTTGGCTCGTGTACAAAAAAACGCAAGGATCCAGGAGGTCCAAAGGCACGGCAATCAGTTGACCAGCGGAATGAGCGATACATTGACAAAAGAATAGCTGGTAGCTCACAAAAGGTCACTTAGGTGCGAGCCACCAGGCAGTGCAGTTAGTTACTAAGGGGTGTGGCCACCTTGCTGACTCCTCATTCATACTGCAGGAGAGAGAAGAATGGTATAGGTCCAAGCTTCTCCCTGCCGTTCAGGGAGGTCAGCTCCACCAGGGTCACACACTCCACCACCTCAGCGCGGAGCTGGTTCAGCAGCTCACAGGCCGCACACATGGTTCCTGGGGCGGAGGGACAGGGAAAGAGAAGATATTAAAGCGCTTTGCAGAGTCAGCACTCCGGACAGGGTCTTTAGAGCCTGTTTGTGACTTGGGGTGGTTCTTACCTCCAGTGGCCAGAAGATCATCCACAATGACCACTCTCTGCCCGGGTTCTATGGCATCTTTCTGGATTTCCAGCTCAGCCTGCGTACGGGAAGTAGTGTAAGAGAAAGGCTAGGCGGGAACAAGTAGCCACCTCCTTAGCCTCGAGCGTTTCCTGGTGGTGTAAACCTGCCCGGATGTCTCAACCTCTCTGAGCACACACATTTACTCTCAGACACTGATAGCAGTGGTTAGGCCCTGCCCCTTGCCCTACACACAGCTCACTTACCTTCCCATACTCCAGAGCATAGGAGGATGACAGAGTGGGGCCCGGCAGCTTCCCACGCTTCCGGATGAGCACGCAGCCCACGCCCAGCTCCTGAGCTAGGGAAGGACCAAACAGGAAGCCCCTGGAGTCTAGACCTGTAAAGACGGAAGAGTGTCAGGGTTAGGAGCCTGAGGATGGAGCTGAGGGGCGTGGGAATCTACAGGCCAAGGATGGAGAGGTCAATAATACTGACTGGGAACACTAGGTCTTGTTGACTATAGGTAGAACACAGATGGCTACTGGGTAGCATCTCAGCCTTGGGGATCTTCCCTGCCTTCTGTACAGCTCAGGGTCACCTTGTTTCCAGGTGCCCTCATTTCGGGAGCATGGCCAGGGGGTACCAATAGTTAAAGAATTGGGCAAAAGTACTGTGGTCCCTGAGCACTTGCTAGGGCCACTCTGTTCTCTGGGGTGCTCACCCTCCCTCTGGATACTCTGGTCTAGAGCAGTTGTCCAGTACCAGCTTGTGCGGGGGAACAAGAGAAAGGTGCTCTGGTGTAGTCCTAGGGATATGCAGCCCCTGAGGCTACCAGGCTTGAGATCTACCAGGCCACACCCAAGTCTGACCCAAGGTTACCTTATTTCTTAATATCTAGCTCATCCCAGAGGCTACCCCTAAACAAGAACGTCCATCATCTGGAGGTTCCAGGGCCTCCCAGCCCTCTGTCAGGGTGCTGGCCAGCCTTGTGCCCTAGGAAAAAGGAAGGACTGGCTCTGGACACAAGGACAGAGCAGAGTTCATCTCTAGGAATAAGCACGGAGGGCAGATGCCTTAGGGTACCTAGCAGGGGAGGGAGACTGTAGTCAGCCAGGGTGAGCAAGCGACCAAGACAGGGAGGAACCAAGGAAGGTCAAAGGTTGGAGAAAGAAGGGATGGGTGTGGGGTAGACTGTGGATGACAGGAAGGGAAAAAAAGATGGGGGCCTGGACTGTGGGGGATGACCACAGCCTAGCAAGGCCACTCGCCTGCGATGTAGTCGATCTTGCCGCTGTGCGTGGACTTCAGGTGATTGACCAGGAGGCGGATGGCAGCTCGGAAGGAGTCCGGGTCTTTCAAGACGGGCGAGATATCCCTGGAAACAAGGACAGGATAGTGACCCACGTGAGGCCGGGCAGAGGCCCCGTAAGATCCCCGAGACTGCCCACGCGCCTGCGCCGGGGGCTGAGAGTCCAGCGCCAACGCCTCGCCCGCTCGTGACCGCACCTGAACAGCACGCCCTGGATGGGGAAGTCGGGGAAGCTGCGGATGCGCCGCGCCACCAGCTGCAACTCAGGTTCGGACATGGCCGCGTGCGTGTCAGAGGAAGGGAGGAGGTGGGTGTCCGCCAGCTAGGCTCACGTCAATCCGGGGAACAAGGGCGGGGCATCCTCGATGGGCGGGGCTTCTGGGTGCAGGGAGGTCTAGCACGAGGGGCGGGATGGGCGGGTCTGGCAGCGAGAGGCGTGGCCTCTGCGAGGTTGGGTAAGCGGTCTGAGTCAGGAAGTGATATATTGACACGAATCCTAGAGGACAGCAGATGAAAATCCGGGGTTAAATTTCTTGAGCTGCCTAAACACAAGCATCCCTACCTCAAAGATGTATGGGTGGAAAACGGATGTGCGCCTTGTCACTCTATTTTTTGGTTTTGCCTCCCGCACGCTTTTCTAGTCCTGCTTTCCCCGGGGCCAGCCTTCTGGACCTGGGGGAGCAGTGACGGGTCTTGCCCAGGTCCCCTGACATGGTTTAGCCTCGCGTCCCTTCGCTCGCAGCGCGCAGTGGGAGGGGCCTGAGATTCAGCCCCTGCTTTCCTGGAATTAGCAGGGAAGGGAATTGGTGGATAGTCCCGGTCCGGAAGTGGGAGTGTATTGTGTATTGCCTGTAGTGGAGGGGGAAAGCAGGGTAGCACTGCGGGGTAAGGAATGTCTACTCTGAAGCCACAGACCCTCCCTCCTCGTTTTGGGGTGGGGAACAGAAAATCCAGATAGCCAGCGACAGAACTGGGATCTACCTACCCAGAACAGTATCTGGGTGTACAGGTAATGGTGTAGAAGACTGTCCTCTGAGTGTAATAGCCATTGTCATCTTCAGTGCAGTTGTAATTACTCAAAAGATAGCCTCCAGATTGGCCCATGCTCCATCAAAGGAGAGGGTGTGGGGCAGGTTCAGTGGATTCCAACCATTCCTTCCTGGACCCTCCCGAAAGGTGCAATTCTTCCATCTGAGGTCTCTGGAGGCACTAGAATACACACACACACACACACACACACACACACACACACACACACACACATTGGGTGCTTTGGTGGTCATTCATGTTTTTATAAGCAATGAACTCACTGGATACAATGGTTACTTTATTTAGGCTGTCCCTGGAATCTTATCTGGGGCATATGTTTCTGTCTCCCCAGGGAAAGTTCATGCAACAGGTACATGGACATCTAACACACAGTCTCCCATCATAATCTTTATTTTAAAAACCAGGATAGCTGGGCAGTGGTGGCGCACACCTTTAATCTGAGCACTTGGGAGGCAGAGGCAGGCAGATCTCTGAGTTCAAGGCCAGCCTGGTCTACAGAGTGAGTTCTGGGAGAGCCAGGGCTACACAGAGAAACCTTGCCTTGAAACAAACACAAACAAACAAACAAACAAACAAACAACCCAAAAATAAAACTGAGGCTGCCAGAGCTCACACATCTCCTGTTCCTTTATTCCTGCTCCCTGTCTCTTTGTTTCCCAAGCTTACAATTCAGCTCTGGCATTACAGTTACTGCACAGATGTGAAGACTTGTTTATGATGGACAACTCCCATGAGCCTTCAGAGAAAGGATCTTGGAGAGTATGTGGAGCACATGACAGGTGACAGGTACAGAAGTGGCCCCGTACTGCACTGAGCCAGAACCAGAAATTTAGGATATCATCTTCCTATCTCTATGGGGTGGTAGCAGATGTCACCTTGGCTGGAAAATGTGCTATCTTTGTCTTTTGCTTGTAGCCAGTGGGAAAGAGGTAGGGCAGCTCAGGGGGTTGGCCTGGGGGTGAAGACTGATGGCCAGGCAGATGGCGGCTCCTTGGCATCGAGCTGAAATCTTCACTTTTGTCTCCGACACACCAAGGTTGAAATGTATGGACACATCAAGGTTGAAATGTATACAGGGACAGTGAGGAGGCACAGTGACAGCGTCAGACCCTAGGCTGGAGCACGGATGGTGACCAAGGCCACCTAGGGTAGGCAAGCCTCTTCTTTTTCTGGAGTTGGCAAGATGGGCCACATTGCTAGAGAGTTGACTCTAGGGTCAGGAGCTCCAGGATGGGCAGTCTTGGAGCCTTGCTATTGGTTGCAGGGGCCGTTCATCCAGGAATGGGTAAGCAGAGGGCAGCTGGTCTCTTCCATCCATCAGTCCCAAGGCCAAGGCCTTCCAGGAACTTGGAGGGCTGGCTGGAGATTCTGGTCTTGGCTAATGGGCCCAGAAACACTTCTCAGGGACAGACTCAGGAGGTGTCAGACACTTCCCTAGTTTTTCACAGCCTGGGGGTGCCCAATTCTGAGAAGTGAAATTTAAGAAAATGAACTGCAGTTAATCAGGCTTTTCTGGTCTGGGCACAATTAACATGATGTGGACCTCCCATGTCACCTACCCACTTGGCTGCAGGGCAGAGATACCCCTATCTCCATGCCTTCCAGAATCCTAGGACTGTGTAGCCCCAGGACCTACTTTAAACAGCAGCCCTGGCTCCACAGAAAGGGGGTGGGTGGGGCTGCAACTGGCAAGCAAGCAGCAAGGAAAATGAAGCCCAGTAAGTCAAGCCTCAGGGCAGAACTTCGTCTGACTGCCGACACCTCAGGCAGCTTCCGGGTAGGGGAAGGCCAGGAAAAAGAGGCAGCCAGACAACTGAGAGTCTAGGAGTTAGGGACATTCTCTGGTGGTTAGGGAGAGGGGCCATCTCTAGGCCATAAAGGAGCTCAATTTTCAAGTGGCCAGCCTGGCTTTTTTTTTTTTTTTCATCCTCCTCACTTGAAACAAAAGCACACTAGCTTAAGAAGGTTTTGGTCTCTCAGTAGCAAACCCCTGCTGATGGATGGGTTCAGCAAGATCAAGGCCTGCTCAGGACAGGCTATGCTTAGTTCTGGGCCAATCAACCATCCTAGCTTCCTTCAAACTGACCAACCCTAAATTATTGAAGAAAAATGTTTTGGAGACTTTAAAATCTTTCTTCTGTGTGTCTGCTGCATGTGTGTGTTTCCTCACTCCCCATAAATGCCTTTCTTCCGCTGCTGATTCTGTGTGGACCCTGAGATTTCTCCACTGCTACCTCTACCTGTTGCACTCCAGATTTTTCCTGCCTTTTAATTATTTAACTGGCAGAGAAAGTGTACGCGATCAAAGCTTGTTAGCCTGCACTACAGCGTGGCTGCAGCCTGGGTGGGAACAGCAATGCCCCACCCTGAGGACACTCAGGCTCCTGAGGCCCCAGAAACCTGGCAGTCTAAGAACGAGCCCGCTGATCTACCACTCTCATTTAGAGCTCAGAATACTAGTACTGTGTAGGACTATCCCCTGAGCCAAACTGCTGCATCTTCATGAGTTTATCTAGTCTTGCTTGCAAAAAGGTCATTGCAGCTTGGTTTGTTGACTATTGACTCTCCTTAAGGACTGCCGTGAGAATCAGGGAACTCTCACCTGATTATCCAGCCATCTTCCCAGTCACATGTACACAGTTTTGCCCTAATTACAGGAAGTCTTGGGGCCTTGGGGAGGGGCTAGAGTACACAGGTGGGAAAGGACAAGGGGAGGGGAGCCATCTCTGTTGGCTATAGATCTTCCAGCATGGGTGCTCTAAGTGCTCCCCCTCCTCCATGCTTCAGCCTGTAACTCTTCACTCACTGTCCCATAAGGAAGCCTATAAATTCTTTGGTTCCCCAGAGTAAAAGTCGGTGGACTGTACGTACCTCTGTTGGTTAGTGAGATCTTAGAAAGAGAGGTAGATGTTTAGCAATAACTAGCAACACAGGCACAGTCTGTGAATGTTGTGAAGCTGATCCCCCAGTGGGATCCTCAGAGGAGGCTGTGCCCAACTAAGTCCTGAAGAAGCCTGCTCACCCTTCAGCAATCCTCAGTGTTAGAGGATGCTGTGCTCAACTAAGTCCTGAACAAGGCTACTCACCCTCCAGCAATCCTCAGTGTTAGTAGGATATTGTGCATTTTACTCCCACACTTCCCAGAACAATGAATAACTACCCTTGCCATGCTGAGCTGCATGTGGACAGGGAGCCAAGGTGTCCTCAAACTGGATGAGACCAACGTCTAGCATGGGCAGCAGTAGCCAAGCACAGGCAAGCCCCAGCATATACACACCACTCACCATGACAGCCTGGTCACACACATTGAGCTGGGGCTGTCCAGGGACCAAGGACTTTTGGTGCTGCTGGACAACCCGGGTGGTCCTGCTGAGGGCGCCCTGGTATTCCTCACTGGCGAAGCTGGAGAGAAGGCGGCTCTGGTTAGAAGGCTGTTGTGTCCAGGGCCGATCAGCTCCTGGCAGGCAGAGGTTCTAGATGTTTAGGAGGCTCACAGATGGTCTAGCCTGGAAAGCCTGAGCCCCTGAGCTGATCTCTAGAGGCAGGAAGAGCCAGGACAACAGTCTGAAGCCAGAGCGGGCTATGGGCTCCCACCTGGTGACCCTTGAGCCTTCCGGCCATGTGCACAGCTCTCCTGCTGTCACACTCTGCCAGGGGGAGGGAAATGGGGACCTAGGAAGCGGAGCTGGGGCAGAAAGGCTTCTGGTACTGCCAATGTGACCTGTGTGTGAAGAGAACCCAGGATGTGGCTTGGAGACTCAGGGTCCTGCCCAATGGGGCCTCTCTGTGGGGACCGCCCACCACAGCAGTAGGTACTAGTTTGAAACGTACATGCATATAACACGTGATTTTTCCTTAGCAAGTCCTGTCTTCTGTTAAAAGGCAAGAACTGAGGGAGAGAAGATAATACCCAAGCCCACAGGCACTTGTGGCATTTCGACTAATTTTTCACTAAGAAAACCTGTTTTTGCTTTTTTTGAGACAGGGTTTTCTCTCTGTAGCCTTGGCTGGCCTGGAACTTACTCTGTAGACCAGGCTGGCCTTGAACTCAGAGATCTGCTTGCCTCTGCCTCTGGAGTACTGAGATGAAAGGTGTGTACCACCACTGCCCAGCTAGAAGACATGTCAATGGATACACTACGTAGTTGGCATATAATCTACCTCTGCACTGTCACCAACTGTGGCACCATGAGGCTGCAAGGACATCTATGCATTAGGCTCCTGGGAACCAGTTATGTCCTAGTCCAGCCCCTGTAGACTTCAACATGGCTTCTGTCACCAGAGCTTTCTGTCCACACAGGTGGAGTATCTTGAGACACACATAGGACAGGAGCACATGATGAATTCCTTGGTCTGGCTGGATTTTCAGAGGCTTGCCTCTGCTCACACCCCCCAGCCCTATGTGGTCCCTCTCTATGCTAGCCTGTGTGGGCCCTTCTCCCTGTGTGCTGCCATGTTCATGGCCTGTTGTTAACTTCGAGACAAGTGTTGGTATTCCAAAATCCCTGGAGGCTCTGTGGCCAATTACGTCTGTTGTCCTATGGTCAGCTAGTGCTGAGGACCGTGTCCCAAGGCTCCTGGTCTGTGACTGTCACTTGCCATTTGGGAGCGTCCGTGCAGGGAAGCAAAAGGCAGGTGGAGTTATACATAGACTGTCTTCATGAGGACATTCTCTCCAGAAAGTCACCTGTCTTTCCTTGTGCCCTGTCTTGGGAGAGGCATGTTCTTGGGCTAGGAAGTGGCTTTAGGGCAGGGGCTGGATAGCTGCTGCAGGGGTTGGAACTCACAGCCTTCACAGTGTCTGGCTACCTCTAGGAAGTGAATAGGCCTGGGGCAGAGGCGTCTGGGATGAGCAATTCCCCAAGGACCCAGACTGCTGAGCACAAGCTGGGTGTGGGTGAGCAGAGCTGGTGTCACTGAGAGGCACTATGATCTTTGGGCTGACCCTGAGGGCATGAGGCCAGCGGTGGCAAATCACACAGGCACATATCTCAAAGGACAGCCCTGCCCATCAACCCTGCAGCCTGCCACCCCATGCCGTGGGAGCTCCCTTGGTTTGTGACAACATTTATGTCCCAGTGGGCCTTGAGGAAATACCAGTCTGCCCGAGGGGAGGGAAGGAAGCTCCCCACAGCCACAGTTTGGTGGCCAGAAGGTTAACGTTAGGGTTCTGCAGGGCCATACCTCCTCTAGAGGACCTGAGAGGTACCTTCCTGCCTGTTCCAGCCTCTTGGCTTATCTCCACCTCAACCAGCCTGTCCCCTTGGTGTCTGTGTCCTTTCTTCTCTCAGAATAATGCCCCACCCCTATCCAGGATGACCTCACTGTCATCTTGGTCTTAGTGGTATCTGTAAGACCATATTTCCAAAAGCGTATCTTCTGAGGTGCTGGAGACACACCTCAGACTCAGGCAGAACATAGGAGCAGCCTCAGGGACCTTTCTGTTGTCTCAAAGCCTTCTCTGTGTCCCATTAGCAAGTCCTGGCCTATCTTTGAGCAGAAGGCTGTGTTTTCTAACCTGGCAGAAATGCTATAGGACACAGGACTTGTATTGCAGGACCAAAGGCACCTATCCTCCTGCTAGCGGAGCTGTGTTAGCATCCTGAGAGCCAGAGTGAACTGGGCTTGAGTCAGCTGAGGACTGTCAGAGGATCTGGACTTTGGTGGATGTGATACCACCACTCACTGGTCATGGGTGCTGTGAATAGGGGAAGCTAGGACGGTTGCAGGGATAGAACCCCACAGTGACAATTTAACTCACCAGTGTTGGTCATTGTGGTTAGCCAGGTATAATGACTTTTGAGTTCAAAGTCTCCTGCCCAGCGGAGGCCAGTAGGCACCTTCAGCTCCAGGGTACTGGTCATTATCTGAAGCAGTTTACTCCAGAATCTGGGACTGAGTCCTTGGATATCCTCACCCTCAGTCTTTGCCTCCTGTCAGACCCAGGCTAGTTAGTATGGATGGATATAACCTATGCCTCGCTCCTTTGCCCTTAGCTGTCCCTGAAGGTAGCTTAGAGTATAGAATTCATTGCTGGGGCTGTCAATGAACTGGACCCAGAAGGGGAAGGGATGAGATGCAACCAGGGAGAGAAAGCAGGAGGAGAGCTCCCAGAGAGCAAGGCAGCCATGCCTAAGGTAAAGATGGAGGTTTCTGGGAGCCTTGGTTGGGTGCCCAGGGTTTGGGTTCAGTGACTGTGCTCTTCACCTCCTCACAAAGGCGTCCATCTCCGGTGAGACCAGAGGAGTGACTCCACAGAAGGCAGGGCACCCAGACGTGGTTCTCATCTTTGGCCTGTTTGGCCAGTGTCTCCTCTGCACCATGGAGGAGACCCTACCCCTTCCTCACCTGAGTGGGAATCTCTCCCCTGGGTCACGTCCCAGGTGGAAGATTAGGGGTAGCTCCGTGTGTTCTTCCTGGGTGTGGGTTGTGACTCCTGAAACATTCTGCCCGGGGCAGAAGTCAACGCCCTGCAATGAGAGGCACAGAGAACATGTGAGCAGCCCGGAGCCAGAGCCTGTGTCACAGAGATGCCCTACTAGTCCAGCTTCTCACACACCCCCATCCCTGGTACTTTGGTGTCCGCTGGGGAGTGAACATGAGTGGGGTAGAGTAGAGTCACCTCCTGGCTGAGAGGGAAAGCTTCAGACAGAGGGCTGTTCTGCAGCTCACTCTCGGTGTCTCCCTGAGGTTTCTTTATAATAGTCTGGGCAGCTAGGCTGTAATCTCAGCATTAGGAGGTAGAAGTAGGAATGTCATGAGTTTGAAGTCAGCCTGGCCTACACGAGACCCTGCCTCAAAACAAATGGAACAGTCAGGACAGTCTAACGCTTTGATTTTGACCATAAAGCCCTCTCAGTGTGTGGCCAGGGAGAGCACTGGGCCTCTCAGAAGGTGATGAGTCAGGATGAGTCACTAGACCAGACAGGAAGGAGGACCTTTTGCTTGAAAGCTGAGAGAACACAGACCCAGAGCTGAACATGGGAACTGAAGCTAAGGGACAAAACAGCCATGAACACCAGGCTCAGGGGACAGTCACCGGCTGTGTTATCGTGACCACGGCATTCAGACATACAGAAGCCACACGGAGCCAGTCCCTGCAGTCTTCTCAGATAGCTTGGCTGCTGCAGCTACCTCTCCTGGGTGCAGCCTGATTCCGTTATAATCGGTCCTGTGTACAGCTTGTCCTTCGCCCTTGACCTCTCCTACCAGTTCTCTCTGCTTACTCCTTGGGGTGGACTGATGTAGGAATGGGGAATGCCCCTAATCACGACCCCAACAGTCCCAGACGGGAGCTGTGACTCAGGTGCCCTAGTGTCAGCCACCTTGTCAATGGGAGAGCTTACTGTAGGGTCTGTTTACATTTGACATGAGGTGCAGTTCACCAAGCAAATGTCTGTAACACCTTGTAGAACACCCCTGTGATGGACAGTTGGTTGGTGTAGCGGTTTACAGTCTATAAAGCAGGGAGGCCATAGACTATGAAATTCCAATTTGCACAGAGCTGCAGAGCCAAGCTGGGGACTGGAAGGACAGGTCACATTACAGTCAAAGTGGGTTCCAGAATCTAGGCCTCCTGGATCGCCCTGCCAGGGGACAGGCATGCAGCGCACAGCAGGAAACCAACCACAGTTAGCGTGAAAATACCAAACAGTTAATGGAGAAGTCTAGATGGAACTCGTAAATTATAATTTGGATGCAAATCAAATAAGCTATTTAATTAAGATCCCGCTAATTGGTCTAGGGTTTCTCTAACAGCTGCTGCTGTCTGAGTGCCTCACCCTCAGGACACCGCAGGAAAGTCAGCCTGCTGTACGGAATGCTTCATCGTCCCCACAGAGCCGGACTCTGGCCTGGCTCTGGATGCACAGCGGGATGGGGGACAGGCAGGCTGCTAGAAGTCACGTGCTGACTTTGGAGAGGACGGACGGACGTGACCCTCAGGTTGTCTTACTCTCCCGGGAGATGAGAGTTCAGGTGTAGCAGGTGAGGCCTCCATCTTAGGACTGAAGCCAGAATCTGAGGTTGTTAAGACAACACCAGGAATCCAGGAGTGAAGGCAAAAGACTTGGGTGTTCTCTCATTCCTGAAGCGAACACCAGCCGGGGCAGATTGTAGCATTTGTCTTTAAAAACCGCCCTTTATCTGGGCCTCAGTGCTGAATCTGAACCGAGGGAACCGACAGCTGCAGTTTACATGAAAAAGCTCGGCTAATTACAACTCAGTAGTTCAGGTGATCTCCGTAACAGGCTCAGGTCTCCTCACTGCATGCAGAGACCTCCTTCAACACGGGAAGTGTGGTGTGGACCCTGGACCAGGTGCCTGCCCTGTCTGACTCCCGACTTCCTTCAGTGATGGATTATAATGTGGAAGCGTAGGCACCAGCTACACCCTTCCCTCCCCAGCTTGTTTTTTGGTCACGGTGTTTTATCACAGCAATAGAAACCCTCAAAGGACACTGTCTCTGAGGCATGGCAGAGGAATGTTTAGGATGATGGGCCTCAGGCAGCAAGGTTCAGAAAGGATGGGCAAAGCAGGGGACATGGACACTGTCCTAGGCTGCCCCAAACTTCCAAACCAGGCACCGGGGAGTCAGTGTCTTTGAGCCATAGCCACACGTCCACCTTGGTATGCGCTGTTCATTTGCCCACACATACCCAGTGCAGCCTGGCATCCTGCCCAGCCCAGAGCCCTGCCCAGCTGGAGCCTCCTGAGCTGAGACATTTGCAGTTTGCTTTCTCGTTTGTTCAGAATGTTCTAGCATTTAGGCTTTTCATTATGTGATTTTCTTCCCTATTAAGGCACATTAGAAGGTTTTCCTGTGTTTAAGGACCTTACAGTGCCTGAAGGGATGGGGGAGGTAGGACCAACAGTTTGCAGGACACAGGACTATGGCAGCCTCACGTGGGCCGAGGGGCCAGCAGAGGCCACCACGGATGCTGTCAGCCTGGGATGGAGCTAAGTAGAGACTTGGGGGCCTGGTAGACAGTGAGGCCCTCTGCCTGAACCTGGACCTTGTGCTCTCTGAAGACCACCTATGAAGGCGGGACATCCCAGGAGAGAGTATTTGTCCCCAGCAGGATATTACTCATATAACCCTAGAATTTTCCAGAGCCCACGTGCTCAATCTCTACACTTGGACATCTGGACATGAAAACTAAGAATGGGTGGGACCCATAGGGCCACACGTGGGAGGGAGGCTGTGGGGGACAATGGTGCCTCCCTTGATGGTAGCTGAGAGATAGATTCAATCTAGTTCTCCAGCGGTCTCTCAGTGGTGTCCCCTCCCAGGGAGTCTGTATCCAGGGGCCCTTACCTGTCTGAACTCCTCCCAGGAGTTGGTCCAAGTCCAGAGGTGGGCTTTGTACTGGCCAAGAGTGACTGCCATCAGTGTGTTGCCACGGTAATAAAATATGGGCCTGTTGTGTTGAGGAGAGAAAGGGTGAAGACCAAGTCCATGTGTTTACATGTGGCGCTCCCAGCTGGGGAGTGGCAAGCTGCTCGTACCTCCAGGTTGGTATGAGCTGCCTGTACCTCCAGGTTGGTATGAGCTGCCTGTACCTCCAGGTTGGTATGAGCTGATACTTTAAAGATGTGCTAAGGCCACAGAGTACAAAAACTAGGAGGGAACTGGGGAATGGTTTCCTGTGACACACAAAGTCCTGGGGTCCTACTTGGCCCGGCGTGTGTGATAACCAACAAGGCTGCAGGAACTGACCTGACATGCTCTGGCTGGCCCTGGCTGGCCCTGGCTGGCTCTGGCTGGTCCTGGCTGTCCCTTGTTGAGGTAAAGCCAGGCCCCAGGAACTGGGGCTGACAAAGGAGTTGAGCTGCTAACAAAGAGATCCCCTTCTTGGAAGTAAGATAGGTCTGGGACTGGGAAAGCCAACACTTGCTGGAAGGACGCCTCCCATCCCGAAGTCTTAAGATGCTTTCCTAAGCCGGGCGGTTGTGGAGCATGCCTTTAATGCCAGCACTTGGGAGGCAGAGGCAGGCGGATTTCTGAGTTTGAGGCCAGCCTGGTCTACAGAGTGAGTTCCAGGACAGCCAGGGCTATACAGAGAAACCCTGTCTCGAAAAACCAATAAATAAATAAAAAATAAATAAATAAATAAAAAACAAAAAACAAAACAAAAAAACCAAACCAAAACAAAAGAAGATGCTTTCCTAAGAGTCAAGGTTTCCCAGTGCCCTGATGGGCCCAGACTGGTCCCTTTCCCAGGTGCACCTATAGGATTCAGCTTCCATCTTGTCTCCCCCTGCTCCAGCATCTACGCTGCTTCCTTTCACATGGTCGTAGCTAGCCGGTGAGGAAGTTATAGCCTTTGCAGGAAGTTCTAGCTCCGGACTCTGTCATGAGGAGCCGCGGCAAGGGGGCGGGACGAGGGGTGGAACAGATATTGTCTAGTACCAACCTGTCCATCATCTGGCCCTGGAGCATGGTGGGGAGAAGGTCAAGCCCGTCAATTATCCTGTCACTGGGGGGCTTCAGGCCTGCAAGGGACAGGCTGGTGGTGAAGAGGTCCATGATGCTTCCCAGCTGGTGGCTGACCTGAGATGGATGGAGTAATCTCTGAGACGCCCCATCCTGACCACATCAAGTTTGGGGGCTGGAGCCTGGAGTGCTGAGCACCCGACTCTCCTCTGGGTATGCAAAATTTGTGCACTAACGCTCCAATGCTTACACCTGCTGCATGCCATGGAGGGGGCACAGCCAAGGTTAAGAAGAGTCATGGGGCTGGTAGGTGGCAGATGGGACTTAAACTGAACATCTGACCCCAGAGTCAGGCCACACTCATGTGCCACTGTCCCTACCATATATGGATCAGCTGCCATAGCTTGACCTAGAATGCTAGAGGTCCTCCTCCTCTTCCTCCTCTCTCTCTTCTTCTTCCTTTCCCTCTTCCTCTTCCTCCTCCTCCTCCCAGAGAGACACACAAGGGTCCCACCTCTCAGGGTTTAGGGGTCTTTTGTGGGCTCTGCTTCCTCTGCAACAGTGAGCTCCTTCACTGGCTCGCCCACCCCCAGTAACCTCTCAGTGCTGCCGTGCTGGAGACAGAAGTGTGCTCATCTCTTTTCCTTGACCTCTGTGGCTTGATGGTCAGTGTGGGGTGAGGACAGTCCCTGAGAAGATGCATCTGTGGTCCTCTAGGAAGACATGACTCCACAGCAGCCTGTCAGGACCTCAGCTGGAGTTCAGTTTGGACAGACTTCTCTTGCCTCTCCTTGCTTGGCACTCATTCAACTGTGCCAGCTGGAGATCTTGTCGAATAAGTATTGAACTTGAGTAGACCCTGCTAAGGCTCGCTGAAAACACCCTCCCCCTGCCACCTCTATGTCGACGAAACCCCTTACTGCCCTTGCCTAACTCAGTCGCATATCATTTGCATCCTGATGGGGGTTGGGGAGGAGGCAGCTTCTAAAGATAAAATGAGGGCCGGGCAGTGGTGGCGCACGCCTTTAATCCCAGCACTTGGGAGGCACAGGCAGGAGGATTTCTGAGTTTGAGGCCAGCCTGGGCTACAGAGTGAGTTCCAGGACAGCCAGGCTTACACAAAGAAACCCTGTCTTGAAAAACCAAAAAAAAAAAAAAAAAAAAAAAGATAAAATGGTGTCTGGACAAACAGCCTCAGGAGAGACTCTTGCAATCAGCATGCCCTCTCTGCAGTAGAACCTGTTTCCTCATTCCCAAACCCCACACCCTCCCCTTTAAAAGATCCTAGCCAGCTCCCCCAGCCCCTGCAGTCCTCTCTTTCCCATGGCAAAGTGTCCCGTCTTTCACTGTTTGAAATAAACGGTCTCATCTGTGTAGGCCGCTCAGACATCTCCTTACTCTGTGCCCTGAAATCTAACAGATATGACTCTTACTGTGTAATGAAGTCCCTGTCTGACATGGCCGTTCTTCTAGAGAGCCAGCTTGGGAACAGGGCATTCTTGCAGGTGCATGCCCTAACGTACTTTTGGGATCAGGGGAACAACAGAGGCCTTCCTGAAGCCTTTGTGGGGAATGGAGAGCTTTCCAAATGGCTCATGGCTCCTTCTGGGTAGTTCCCTCCAGAAAAGAGGAAAGGGGAAGGAAGGAAGCATGTTCCATGACTGAGGTGACTGGAAGGAGGGGGTCTGACTGCCACTGCATGCACCTGCATGCACACAGCTGCTCGTGCGTCTGACAGCAGGAGGACGCTGTCAGCTCCTTGGAGATGAAGCTGGATCAAAGGCTGCAATTACATACTGCTGCTGCCAGGTGCAGCATCAGCGTCTGCTTCAAGGTAGACGAACGAACATCAGGGTGTTTAAGTAAAGATCTCAGTTATCACAGAGCACAGCCCGAACCCCAGGTGATTTCATCCCAGCTTGTGGGGAGTGTAGTGAAAAGGAAGCTGTAGCCCTAGAGCGTTGCTACTCTTTCCTCAGAAGGCAAGGGAGGTGTGGATCCTCCTGAGGGCACCAGGCAGGAGGAGCCATGGAAGCAGATGCTTTAGACCCAAGGGACATAAGCAGAGTTGGTTAGGCATCCTGGGTCTGTGGGAGCTTGGCCAGGTCAGGGGCGTAACTGGGATTGGATATGGTTCCTCATGGGAAGGACACAAAGGCCATGCCAAGTATCCCTTCCCAGAAACTCCTCATATGTGTCCCATTTCTCACCCAGTGACTACACAGCTATATGAGGGCTGGCAGAGATGGCACTGGGACACGAAGAGCAGGTGCAGCTGTGGGCCAGGTCCCTCTCCTAAGGGTTAGATAGTCGTGGCCAGTCTTGTGTATGGACTAGTATCCCACTAACCAACCTTCGTCTATATGTGATGTGTTTACTGCCACAGGCGCTCTGCTCTGTAGAGGGAGGTGGCCAGATGACAGGCATGCCTGTTCAACCAACTGGGAAAGCCACCAACCTGCAAGGCTCTGGGGATTAGTGTGTCCTGGGAGTCCCCAGTCAAGAGGTCCTAGGCAGAGGACAGGTAAGAAGGGACAGAGGCTCAGTCAGGTCTAGTTTAGAAGCTAGGCACTGAGGGCAGGTCCCAGTTGTTGCTGGGGACACATGGAGATTGTCCGGAGGGAGCATGGTGGTAGGAGTGTAGGTCCCATGGTTGGTTGTTTCCAGTTCTGCCCTCCTGGCTGGCAGGCTGGACAGGTGCTCTCTGGGCTTCCCTTTCCAGATATGTGCAGTTAGAGGGAAGGGTAAGGACTGTGGCGGGCAGAACGACGGCTGCCAGGGACATCTATCAGCGTGACCATCCCTGGACTCTGTGGCTGTAGGATCTCACTCAGTAATGGGGACGAAGCGAGTAGGAGGGATTAGGGGTGTGCATCATCTGGCCTCTAGGAAACTGGCCTGTACTGCCCACGCCAGCCAGTAGTCACAGCAGACGAATGGAGAAGCAGAGGGTGGAATTAAGGAGACAGGGGAAGGCTAGCGTAGCACTTAGCTCCAGAAGCCACGAGCTAAGGAACAGATCTGTCCCAGACACTGAGGAGCCAGCCCCATGACTTGTCACAGAGGCCAGAAGATCCCACTCCTGACTGTTAGAGCTGGCAATTCTGTCCAGCCCCAAGTATATGGGCGGAAGATTCACCACTGCAGGGTGAACTGAGGAACCCAGAGGGAGACACTGTCTCCAAGATCGCTGGGGAAAGAGGAGTGACGTAAAGGCTCCTCTCAGCAGCAAGCACTTAGTGTGCTGACTACGAGTGTCACGGTGGATTCTTAGACAAGGGATGACCTACTTGGGGTTGAGGGTGCTGTCTGGCATGAAGTTGGCCAGACTGAGGCCTCAGAAGGATACATACTACACCCACTTGAGGCCCCATTTCTGGTCTTTGCTACAAAGACATCAGGGTTCCATCTAGGGTCACAGCTGTCCCTTGTATATAGAATCTATAGAACATGGGCAGTCAGTTGACCACTGAAGCCTCCTTATCACCCGGGCACCAATGCCCCTGAGACCTTGTAGCAGATACAGCTTCAGTGTGGCATGGTGACTCACCTGGCCTGCAGCAATGTGCCCTGGCCACCATGCGATGGCAGGCTCCCTCATCCCGCCTTCAAATGTAGTTTGCTTCCCACACAGGAAGGGACCGTTGCTGCCACCTGAGGATGAGAGTCACCACCCATCAGCCTAAGATGTCAGGGCCCGGAGCTCCCCCCAGGGTCTAAACCACCAGCCTGGTAGCACATAGGGAGGGACTCATGGCTCCAGCTGTATATGTAGAGGAGGATGGCCTTGTTGGGCATAGGTGGGAGAGGAGATCCTTGGTCCTGTGGTGTGGGGGAATTCGAGGGCGGGGAGGTGGGAGTGGGTGGGTGAGGGCACATCCTCATAGAAGCAGGAGGAGGGGGGATAGGATAGGGGGTCTCTGGGTGGTGGTGGTGGAAATGGGGAAAGGGGATAACATCTGAAATATAAATAAAATATCTAAAAAAAAAAGAAAAAGATGCCAGGGCCCAGGTCCTCTGGGAGATCAGGGACACACAGGTCTCCTGGCTGGCAAGTGGCCTGTCCTGACTTCTGAACTCTTTGTTAGGCACATTTGAGTCCCGAGGTCATGACAGAGACAAAAGACCAGGAGGATGAGGTCAGGTTGCAGACACAGGTCAGGAAACCTGGGTGGCTCTGACCCAGGCAGCTAAGATGCTCTGGCTTCAGCTTTCCAAAGAGGACAGAAAATTGTCACCTCACTAAAGCCACCAGCCCAGAAGGAGCCACTGCTCAGACACAAGCCACAGCTGCAGAAGCCTCTTCCTGTCACGGGCCACAGACACTGACTGATGCCTTCAGTTAGTGTTCTTAGATGCTAATATTCACAGGCATCATGGACTGGGGAGGGTCCTACTTAAAATGTGGCTTACCCCAGATGCCCTCTGGTCTTGACTCAGTCTGTAGGGGCAGGGTACACAGCTGGAGTTTGAAGCCACCAGGCCCTAAACGAGCTTGTGGGGAAGCTATGAGGGATAAAGCTCCTTTCTATCTCAATCCTAGACACGAGGAAGAAGAATTCCCAGGGTCTTGGAGCCAGGTGGGCCTGTTCCCTAGGGATAGATGATGTCATGGCATGAGCTGCTGGGGCTCCATCTCAGGCCCCCAAAACACAGGGACAGGGAGAAGCAAAACATTTCCTAGTGCAAAGTCAAACAGAACTCTCATCCCATGGAAATGACAGTCACTGTGCCTTGTGGCTTCCGTGGAACCCTGCCTCTTCTCCGTAAGCAGCAGACATAGCAGCATGGAAAGACGTCAGATCAGAAGCCCAGCAGCTCTGTTCACCCCAACCCTGAGCCAGCCTAACTGTGCCGATGAGAAACAGTCATGGGTACCAGTCAGGAGATCTGCCAGGTAGCAGGAGATCTGTGTCGGGGGAGGATACCTGGGCTGAAGACGACTGTATTCTGTTTCTACTTCTTAGATAGGTATGGGCATATGGGGCTTTAATTAGTTTTTAAAAAACGTTTTAAAATCAGGCTGGAGAGACGGCTCAGTGGTTAAGAGCACTATCTGGTCTTCAGAGGTCCTCAGTTCAATTCCCAGCAACCACATGGTGGCTCACAACCATCTGTAATGGGATCCGATGCCCTCTTCTGGTGTGTCTGAAGACAGCGACAGTGCACTCACATAAATAATAAATAAAAAAATAAATCTTTAAAAAAATGTTTTAAAATCAAACTCTGACAAGTTTTGTTGAAGTAAAACTTTTGTGGTTCCTTTTGCATCCATCCGTTCGGGCGTGATTCTAGTAACATTAGAATTACCTGGGTCGGGCTGGAGAGATGGCTCAGTGGTTAAGAGCACTGATTGCTCTTCCAGAGGTCCTGAGTTCAATTCCCAGCAACCACATGGTGGCTCACAACCATCTATAATGGGATCCTGATGCCCTCTTCTGGTGTGTCTGACCATAGCAACTGTGTGCTCACATTCATAAAATAAATAAATCTTTAAAAAAAAAAAAAAAAAAAAGAATTACCTGGGTCAATGCTAGCCAGTGTGCATACTCCATAGTGTTTCCCGCTTTGAAATAGTTGAACCGAATATTTGAAATTTGAACTGGTGCTCAGATCAATATTACTGCCACTATGGTGGTGGACACCAGTTTTGGCCAACGTGGCGTAGTATTCTAGTTCCGATGTCCTCAAAGTTGGGCAGTTGTTGGTGAGAACCAGTTTCGCTTTGCCCTGTCTGATCATCTTCAGGGTCCGCTTGTTTCCTAGCCTGTACTTTCCACTTTTTATAACGAGTTGGAGTCTAGAGCTGACAGACTCCAGAGACTTTCTGTCATCATTTATATGGCTACCATCTTCTTCTACCTTAGATGCAGGATGGCCTCTGACCTACTACACAGGAGAGCAGGTGCCAAGATCTTGAGGTAATTGTTAAAAATGATACCATTTCCCTCTGCCAGGCGCCTTCCTACCCCCAAGAGTTGGCCAAATAGGTAGCAGCTGAGCTTCTGGGAGGTGATGGGGTCCTGCTCTTTTCTCTGAGATGTATGTGGAAAGCCTGCCTAAGAACTAAGCTTGCCCATAGAGCTGGGCGAGGAGAGCCTCCAGGTCAGCCTGGGTAGACTTGGTGGTTTTTCTACCAAACAGCTCTTCTTTGCTTTATGAAGGCTGGACAGGGTTTGTTCACCGGAAACCAGGAAGCCCCAGGGCACTGGGTGTAGGACTGACTGAGCCACCTGAGGTATCAGAGCCTAGGCTGCCTAAGGGAAGTACAGGCGGTGGAGATTACTGGTCCCTCAGCCTTGACGGGAGCTTTGTATTGATTGCTGAGAATCATGGGTAACTTTCCCGGAGTCACCCACTGGATGGCTCCCAAGGCTGAAGGTGTTACTCCTGCCACCTCTGTAGCAGCCAAACCGCTCTACCTGAGTACCACGAGGTGTTCTGCCAAAGTCCTGGCTGCCAGAGTCTCCTGTAGCCTGAGGCTTCTGGAAACTCTGGCTTCATGCAGGTAAGGACCTTCCCGAGATCTTCCTTTCCTCCCCCCTGACACTTTCCTGTTCTTTTTTTTCCAGAGGATTCAAAATCATGTGAACGCAGGCCAGGCTTGAGTCAGCAGGGTTAAGACCTTGCTGCTGGGTACTCTATTCTGGGAGGTCTGAGAGTCACTTTCTAGCCGGTAACCTGGAGGATAGGAAACAGAACTTACCTTGTTTGGGAGCAGAAATGAGGGCTGCACCGTTATCAGATGTGAAGAAGACAAATGTGTTCTTACTGATGCCCAAGTTCTGCAGAAGGCCCAGGATCTTTCCAACACTGTCATCTATTTCCCGAACAGCATCTCCATACCTGCAGGGGAAGATGACACTCTACCAGGCAGACAAGGGCATGAGTGTGACCCAAACACTAATCTTGTCACTCCAGAGATGACCAGTGGAGCAGCTAGCTGCTTCTCAGGGGGACGTTCCGGCTCAGTATAAACGGTTCATTGCCAACACCGTGGACATAAGGATCACAGATTCCCTTTCATCACTGATCTTGGGCTGGAGGAGGTTTCAGAGGCACCGATGTTTTGTATCTTTCTTTTACGGTGCTGGGGATCGAACCCAGGCCTCATGTATAAGTGTCTCCAACATTGGAAAGCATCCCAGCTGCTCTGGACTTTTCATAATGGCCCAGACCAGCCACCCGATGATCCTTAGTATAACTGAAGGCCTCCGTGGGGCTTACGACTCACCGCCCTCGAAGGCTGGTACCCAAGAACTGTTTTGAGGCATAAACTGGTGCATGGGTGGCGTCGATGGCCCAGTAGAGGAAGAAGGGGCTCTGCCTTGCATGTTGTGTCCGGATGAAGTCCAGAGCTTCCTGTGGAAAAGGCCTCTGTTCTCCTCTGCTGCAGGCCAATTCATCCCCCTGACTCCCCGGCTTCTTCCTCCTGGCTCCATGCCACCACGCCCAGCCCACTCAGCCTTACTTGTAAGTAGAGTTGGGTGAGGTTAGCTTCCCCGGTCTTCAGGTTAATTGGGAACTCTTCATAAAATCTGAAAGCAAAAACCAAATATCAGATTTTAGTCAAGAAAGCCCCTTCCTTCCTCGATTTCACTGAAAAGTCAGGGTTGCTCCACGTGAAGCACACACAGCTCCTGGGTGACAATCTTGTCTGAGGTGACAGGGCCATGATGACCCCAGCATGTCCAATGAGTGTAGAACACGTTGGATGTATGTGTGCTGCAGAGACGAGACAAGGTCAGGAGGTGTAGCTGAGTGTGTGCATGTGTGCGTGTGTGTATAGGTATGTGTGTATAGGTACACATGTAAGTGCAGGTGTTCGTGCAGTAGGTGCACATGTATGTGATGGATGGGGACAATATCCTTTGAGCTGGGTCTCTCTCATATTAATGTTTTTGAGACAGGGACTTACTGTATGGCTCTGGCTAGCCTGGAACTCACTATGTAAAGCAGGCCACGATGGACTCCAACACACAGAGATCCACCTGCTTTGTCTCCTAAGTACTAGGATTAAAGGGGTGTGTCACCATGCTGGGCCAGAGTCTCTCCTTGGCTTTGAGATCACCAATTAGACTTGTGGGCTAGTGAACCTCAGGGAATCCTCCTGTCTCAGCCTCCCCAGAACTGGAATTACAAAGACGTGCCATCCTGTCCAGCTTTTTACACTGGCACCAACGACAGGACTAAGGTCCCTGTGTTTGTGAAGTCAGTGCTTCATCGACTGAGCCATCCTCCCAGCTCCAGAGGCTGCTTTGTGAGAGGTGAAGATGTCCTACAGCCTGCTGAGGGGTACCTGTCACTGGGTACACCCAAGGGCCCCTCAATAGCTCCTGAGGATAGAAAGCACTCATTTTTAAGAGGGCGATACTTGCCGGGCGGTGGTGGCGCACACCTTTAATGCCAGCACTTGGGAGGCAGAGGCAGGCGGATTTCTGAGTTCCAGGCCAGCCTGGTCTACAGAGTGAGTTCCAGGACAGCCAGGGCTATACAGAAAAACCCTGTCTCAAAAAACCAAAAAAAAAGAAAAAAAAGAGGGCGATACTTGGCTCAGCCTTGAGGTCTGCCAAGAGAGGAACTTCCACTCAAGGAACATAGGAGGAAGGAAAAGAAAAATTAACCCACCAAAATCCAAGAAAGATGAGTCAAGTCCTTCATCCCAGAGCTGCAGGCTGGAGGTGCCTCTGAGGCCTGGCCCAGGTGGGCTCCCCTCTGACTAGGTCTCTTCTCAGGGTGACAGTGGCAGTTCTTGGAGTGGCTCTCACATTAGTTTAGCCTCACAGTCTCTTGTGTGCAGCTAATAGGCCAACTTAGTGTTGAAGATGACAGCTACTCCACCAAGAGGGTACACAGGTCCTAGACCCCCCCCCCCAAAATACAAAGCTATGACTACATCTTGGATGCAGGAGGTCCTTTGAGTCACGTGTCTGAAAGGAATCTATGATTATGGACTGGTTAGAAGCAGCCTTAGGTGAGTCTCATGAGGTCCTGGGCAAAATGGCCTAGGAAACAGAGCTCTAGTTCTCTCCACATAGGATACTAGATGCCAGCTGGTCATTCAAGAACACCAGCACCATTCCTCAGCAGCACTGGAGGCAAAGGACAGAAGTAAAGGCCACAGGGATGGGGCAGGGGAAAAGGGAAGGGGCTCTGTCTGTTACCTGCCGACCATCTCCCAGTCCCTGTACACAGGGATATTGGGCTTGACCTTGTTGTCATACGGTCCGAAGTGACAGTTGGGGGATCCAAACCACTCATCGAATCCATGCTTCAGAGGGTGGAACTGGGGTCTATGACCCAGATGCCTAGAAACAGGAACCAAGACACTTCAGCAATCCCCTCACTGGGGACATTCTAACGTTCTGGTCAGCAACAATCCATCACGATCACCATGGTAACCATATGATCAGCATGCTCATCATGGTCTGGATACATCAAGATACCAAAGGTTAAAACTTCACGTTAAGAGGGAGTACAGGAACCCATCCGTATGCCCCAGATAATGCTAGCACCTAGAGCTCCAGGCACATCCAAGGGCGTCCAAGCATGACTTAGGGTATTTCAGCAGAGCAGAGTGTCCTGGCCAAGCTAAGGGCTTCTGGGCACAGCTGAGGGTGTCGCAGCGCAACCAACGGCATCTGGACACAATGAGACCCGAAAGAGAGTTTAGCAATCCTTCAGGATTCTGGAAGGACGAACCTGAAAGACGGTTGCATGGGGGAGAAATCTCCAGAATGCCTTGAAAGCATCTGGACTCAGATGCCCATTTCGGCTCTCTCCAGACTCCAGTAGCTCCCTCCTGGACACTCTATCCTTTACCCTCAGGGATGCTCTAAGGTCCTTGGGTTTCTAGCCAGGCAGCTCACAGCTTCCATTTCATACGAAGTCAGAGTATTCCGCCAGCTGAGGGGAGCTCGCCAGGGAGGTGGATGGATAGGAAGATGACGCACCGGCTTAGGGCTGTACTCTCGTCCTCAGCGCCTAGAGCACAGAGTACGGCAGGGTTCCTACTCCGTGATAGTACAAGCTATTTGGAGAGCGAGGCTCACCTGCTCTGAGAGGGACCCACAGAGTAAAGCTTCACAGGGTTAAGGTACTTAGGCAAAGCCGCAGGACCCCTGAGTGAGGCCCCACCCTCCTTCCACCTCCACACCCCATGCCAGCCAGGTACTACCCCATGCCTTCCCATCCTGCCTCCTTTTCTATCAGGGACACTTAACTGTATACCCTCCATCCACTAGTAGCCGAAGAGGGCTGCTATCTTAACACCAACTCCTAGCATCTGTGGTCCACAGACCTGGAGTATCCCTGAAGCAGGGCCTGTCCTTCCTGGTAACTCCTGCTCCCACCTGTTCTTCAGAGCACACGCTAGACTACCACCGACTCCAAACCCTGCTGTGTGGCTGTGTGTCATTATCCTCCAGCCTGGGACCCGGAACTGTTTATCTGTATTGTATACCCCCCAACACACACACACACACACACACACACACACACACACACACACACACAAAGTAAGCCTTTTTCAGGCACAGCTTTCAACCCAGCATCTCGGAGGTGGAGTAACTTGGGATAGGCTATCATGGGTGAACGGCTTCAGGGCTTCTGGGAGGCCCTGGACAGACTGTGCAGATCCAAGGTCACCATGTGCTCATTCCATAGGTAGAATTAAGGGACAGGAGAGAAGTCCTGGGGGATGAACTGGCTGGTCAGCTGCTACTCTACCTGCTCTTCAGGGAAGAATGACCGTCTAGGACTCGGTTTCCTCACTTGGAGAGACTGGCACAGCATGGCTGGCTCTGCGTGCTTGGTCTGCCTGATGGCTGCAAACAGCGAACCTATAGAGCTATCCTCTGACTTCACACACTCAGTCTCTAACCTCTCCTTTGAGGGCAGGGCCTCCATGTCGGATATGCTTGCAGGTCCACAGCGAGACACTCGTCCTTTCTAAACATGGGAGGGCAGATGGGAAGACCCCTGTGCCCATGTCCAGCATCCTGAAGCCTGCTTGAGGGGAAGGATAACTAGTGTCCTGCCCAGAAATGGCTGTAGTTCTATGCACTTGGTCCTAACGGCGGTTGGCACTAACCAGGAGGTGAGCAGGACTGGGGAGTGGGCTGGCCGTCTTTTGAGATTTGTGTTCCGGCCTCACTTGCTCACTTTGGCTGCAGGCAGATTATGCAGTCGACTTACAGGAGTCTAGGCTAGTCCGAGTAGGGCTCGGTCAGGAAGATGAGGGCTGCATGAAGGACACTGAAGGACCCAGGGCAGTCCTGGCTGCAGCCCATAGCACTGGACTAAATCCTGCTCATAGAGGACCAACTGAAGGTCTCCCTGCAGCCCGAGCCTGGCCTCACTGCCGGCCCCTGCTCACTGTGTCTCTTTCAGAGTTCATTAGTGCCGCTGCCCCTCTTGGTCACCTCTTCTCTATCAGAAGTCATCCAGGAAGAGCTTTAGACCTGCAAAAACTCTGTTCCTACTCAGCTCTGCCTACCCAGTCACTGACTGGAAGCTAAAGACTTAGCAGAACTGTCAGGCAAGACACAGGCCTCTCCGGTTACCCTGGGACCTCCAGCTCTTTGCTCTCCCTTGGCTGTCATGGTTTCTCAGACTCTCGCCACCTGCTTGGGGTCTGTGCAGGGGAGGAGGTGCCTCTTGCCTGTCGACGCTTCTCTGCCACATGCCATGTTATAGTTAAGGTCTCTTTTTTTTGCTCGAAAGGTGACAGATGTTTCTTAGGCAGCCTCTGGGTCCCCTGATCTCCTGATATCAGGTTCTCTAGCCCTGTGACTGGTAACAGACTCAGAGAAACCATCCCCAGGAGAGCCATGAGCAGCAGCGATAGATATAGAGGAGACTGGGGAGGGTGTCCTGAGGGAAGGGGCCTGCTCGGCTTTAGGCTAGGGAGAGTTCCATCAGGGGATCATGGGACGTTGCAGGAGTGGAGGAGAGGTATGTCAGTGCTGGAAAGCGGCTACAGGACAGCAAAGAAGCACCTATCCACCTGACTGTTTCATCCCACAGACACAACTGTCCGCTGTTCCCCTGCGTCTACCGAGCTGCTTCTTTGTGGCTTAGCCCTCTGGCAGCCAGCAAACTGTCTCATCGGTGTGCAAGAATGTGGCTGGCTCATTAGCGCCATTTTACTAGGCATGGCTGGGGCAGAGACGGCAGAAAGCATGGTGGGAAGGAACGGGTGGGCATGAATGGCTGAATGCTTGCTCAATGTCCTGTTGAGACAGCTCTCCTGGAGGCCGGTGTCTCAACCTCCTGCTGGACTTGAGATCATGACTGTTTAGTTTAATTTTAGTTAGGTGAGACAGGGCCTCACTGTGTACCTTTGGGTGGCCTGGAACTTGCTATGTAGATCAGGATGGCCTTAAAAATGGCCTCAAGCCGGACGGTGGTGGCGCACGCATTTAATCCCAGCACTTGGGAGGCAGAGGCAGGCTGATTTCAGGCCAGCCTGGTCTACAGAGTGAGTTCCAGGACAGCCAGGGCTACACAGAAAAACCCTGTCTCGAAAAACCAAAAAAAAAAAAAAAAGGCCTCGAACTCAGAGGCCTGCCTGTGTCAGCCTCCCGAGTGCTGGGGTTAAAGATGTGCACCCTCATCAAGTTCCTCACATCAGACACCAAGTTCTTTTTTTTTTTTTTAATTTTAAAAAAAGGTGTATTTATTTTTTTTTATATGTGCATGGCTGTTTTACTTGCATGCACATCTGTGTACTATGTGTGTGCCTGAAATACCAAGTTCCTAAAAGCTCCCTGCTGAGATTATAGTGAGGCACTGTCTATAATCTCAGCCTGTGGAAGGCTCAGGCAATGGATCGTGAACCTCAAATCAGCTTGAGGCCCTGCCTGAGAGAACAAAAAAATTCCCTACAAAAATCTAAACGGACCTGGAATCGAGATTCTACTCCTCCCAAGAGGTAGGTCAGGACTCACCACTTGCCCACGATCTTGCTGGTATAGCCCGCCTTCTTCAGGAGCTCTGGCAGGAGGTGTTCTGAGTTAGGGATCCCACCCACGATCTCCTGAGGTGTGTAAGCTGGAAAAACAAATACCACATCTCTGTAATGGATACACACACTGCCCCATTAAGGTAGACATGCAGAACTATGGTCACAGTAGGGACACTTCCCAGGATGTTCCCAAGGACCCTCCCAGTCAGCACCAGCATGGTGGGGATGGTGTTATGGTGCCTCCACTCTGACCTGTCTCTCACGTCTCCAGCCTGGTTTGCCATGCGACACCACACTGTTCCCCACAGGCTATGCTCCTGGTTCTTTCCATGTTCCTTTCTTCAAGGCCACTTGACATCCCACCTCATCTGGGACCCTATCCCTAGAGATCCTGGCCAAGCTCTTAGCTTGTTTCCAGAACTTCCCTGGTCTGACCTAAAACCCCATAGCTTTCCCAGTGGAGTAGGAGTCACACCAGGCAGTGCCCCAGGAGCAGGTCAAAGGTGGTGGGGAGGCTGCTATGTGGTGTACCTGAGGTGCCTCAGCACCAGTGTGGTTCTTGTTTATTTGTTTGTTTTTTGGTTTTTGGAGACAGGGTTTCTCTGTGTAGCCCTGGCTGTCCTGGAACTCACTCTGTAGACAAGGCTGGCCTCGAACTCAGAAATCCACCTGTCTCTGCTTCCCAAGTGCTGGGATTAAAGGCATATGCCACTACTGCCCGGCAACCACTGTGGTTCTTATTGGGCCAGTTCAGGGAGGAAGTTTGTGACATGGGATCTGCACTGTGGTACTTAGTTCTTGCCTTAGGCTGTCTTTATTTACCACCCTAGGGCCCAACCCTCTCATAGCAAGGCCTAGGACACCAGCTTTCCCTAGTGTAGACAGAGGTACCTGCAGGGCCATGGGAGTGAGGTGAGGTAGGGAGGCATACCATTCCTTGCGTGCGCGTTGGTTGTGTAGAAGCCATTGCGGATGGGCAGCCGTCCTGTGAGCAGGGCTGCCCTTGCTACAGAGAAGGATAAAAACAGTGAAACAAAACCGGTTGGACCCTCAGGCAGCTCTGCTCCCATGTGCACAGCTCCTGGGATGGGTCTGTCCTGAATGCATCAGGTTGACACTAAACTGTTGTGTCTCTTGGGTTTTATTTCTCTGTATAGCCCTGGCTGTCCTAAAACTCACTCTGTAGACCAGGTTGGTTTTGAACTCAGAGATCTGCCTGCCTCTGCCTCCTGAGTGCTGGGATTAACGGAGTATCCCACTGCTGCCCTGCTGTTGTGCTTTGATCCCTGTAGCCTCTGTATGCCGAGCTCGGCATTGGGAGACGGCACAATGGCCTGAGGATGATGGAGCGTTATATAGCAGAGTTCTGCCACTCGGCTCTGCTCCTGTGATCAGTTCTCGAGCTCTGGGACAGCCACAAGACTGTAGGTTGCAGGACCTGCCTCCCACTGCCTGCTTATCCTATCTACTGCTGTCCTTCCTTAATGTCAGCACTTCTGTGACACCAGTATAGTAGGAGGGACATTCCCTGAGAAGAGGACATGGCCTCACTGCCTCCCCACAACACCCATGTCCTGTGACCAGGAAGTGCAGACAACCCTCTGCGGGCAGCGTGGCAGTTCTAGGAGACAGACACGAGCCCTCCTCTGGGGCAGAGTGATCTTTGCATTCTGGGCGGCAAATAGCAGAAGCTAGGGCAAGCTATTGCCCTTAAAGGGTCTTAATAAGCTTCAGACTAATGCTGGTCAGAGGACTCAGAGTCAGGAGCCAGTATCATGGTGACAAAGGTCTCATTCCACCTGCAGCCTTCCTGGCACCTGAGAAATGCTGTCCTACCTAGAGCAGGGCTGGAGGAGCAGGTGTGCCAGACTGTGCTGGCTGACTGGGTCCCAAGAGTGGGGTCGGGAAGTGGCAGCGACTTACATGGTGAGCACAAAGGGTTGGCAGAATAGAAGCTTGGGAAAAGCATCCCTTCTGCAGCCATCCGGTCTAAATTGGGGGTCTCTCTGGAAGGCTCTCCATTCACACCCAGGTCACCCCACCCCATCTGCAGGGAAGATCAAAGAGATGAGGAGAGAACCCTTCCCACAAATGGTTCTTTTGTGACAAGGGAGAGCCACAGAGCTCACCCAACACCTGGCAGCTTCCATGAGCTGCTCCAGGGCTTACTAGGAATTCGCTGGCTCTCATCTCTATTCTCTCAGTTTGACCGTCATCGGGAATGGTATCTGTGTTAGCCTTCCTCACCAGCTGAGATCAACCTCTGTATGCTCCTAGAGTCTTGGTGTCTAAGAATACGTGTCTATTTTCAACATAAAGCTGTTATGCAAATTTCAAAAGCAAGTGCTGAGGTTCCTCTGAAAGCAGAGCTTAGAGCCACATGGCCTGGCAGCCTGGCTTAGTGTGCCTCGCAGAACTGAAACTCAGGCTCCATGACTTTGTGAGTGCCCCTGGCAATCTGTTCCAAACAACAAGGGCTAGAGCCGGTCCACAGAGACCACAGGAGCTGAGGATTCAAGGGGAACCCATAGCACAATCTCGGTGAAAGAGGGAGGTGGTGTTTCGCATGAATCAAGGTATCTGCAAACACAGGGTAGGTGCAGGAAACCGCTCTTTCCAGGGTGGGGATACCCAGTGCCCACTGAGGGCAATACCCCACAATAGCCTTCCCGAGGATGGCAATCCAGAGGGATGCTTCTACTCCTTGTTTAACCTGTTCCTTACCACAAGCATGTGCCCTTCCACCCTTCAGTTATCCAGAGTTAAAAGAATCAACCTATACAACTCACAGCGTACGAAGTGTATTCTGTATTCTGTGAATTTTATCTCAATTAAGAACAAGAGGGTGAGGTGGCACATGCCTTTAATCTCAGCACTTCTGAGGAAGAGGCAGTGGTAGGCATATCTGAGTATGTCTTGAGGAATATCTAATCGGATTCCATGCTGGAAGGCCGGGCTTTGATGTGAGTCGGGAGGGGGTAAGGGATCGCACATACAGTCTAACTAGGCTATACGTTTACAAACTGGCTATAGAATCTTTTGCAAGTCACTGTGACTGGCAGGTGAATAGGTCTTGTAGGGTTCGGTATCCTAGCTTTGGGAACCCACCCCCTAGTCTACAATGGTAGCTTCTCAGGTGACACAGTCATAGCCACTGGAAATGGTGAGAGTCATGAAGCCAGCACAGCTGTTGGACATTGGACACAGTTCTAGCAAACCTGCGATCGTGGCCTTTCTGTCGCTCACTTTTAGGTTTTGGTCTCTGTGTTTTGCACTCTTGACGACTTCCTGCATTGTGATTCACTTTATGTCTTTTCCTGAGGAAAATTACGTCTGAGTCTTTTTAGGAAAGTCCTGCCGGGCAGTGGTGGCGCACGCCTTTAATCCCAGCACTTGGGAGGCAGAGGCAGGCGGATTTCTGAGTTCGAGGGCAGCCTGGTCTACAGAGTGAGTTCCAGGACAGCCAGGGCTATACAGAGAAACCCTGTCTCGAAAACAACAACAACAACAACAACAACAAAAACAAAACAAAAAGTAAAGTCCTAAAAATAACCTTACCTGGCCACTATTTGGAAGTCTTCCGTATGGCCTGGAGATCATTAAGCACAGAGAAGCACATAGCTAGAGAAGGCCATTACTCCGGGATTTTTAAAGGGGGTATCTGCCCCTGAGCAAACTCAAACTACAATTGGTGCAGGGTAAACAGAGACAAATGGCAAACTCTGAATCTGACAGACAGACTCGAGGTCTGTTTTTATTCCAGGCTTAGGCTCTCTGAACATATGGTTTAAAGATAGAGGGTCGGGGCTGGAGAGATGGCTCAGTGGTTAAGAGCACTGACTGCTCTTCCAGAGGTCCTGAGTTCAATTCCCAGCACCCACATGGTGGCTCACAACCATCTGTAATGAGCATCTGATGTTCTCTTCTGGTGTGTCTGAAGACAGCTACAGTATACCCACATACATGAAATAAATTAATAAAAGATAGGGGGTCATATGGGTACACCCTGGTTAAATAAGATGGAGTGATTAAAAGAAAACTTTCTTACTTTCAGCGTAGATGCCGAAACATATAGTAAAAGAAGTTAGGAGGTAGTGTTTGCTATTCATAAAAAAATGGGTCCAGATACTTTCAGTTTGTCTGGAGTGCTTTAAAACTACCAACACTAGGAAGCTGGAGAGATGGCTCAGTGGTTAAGAACACTGGCTGTTCTTCCAGAGTACCCAGGTTCAGTTCCCAGCACCCACATGGCAGCTTGCAACTGTCTGTGACTATACTTCCAGGGGATCTGACACCCTCTCACCTATGCATATAAAAATAAAATAAAATGATAATAAAAAAAACCCTACAAGCACTGCCAGCCTATAAGCAGGCTGTCATATAATGACAAACATGTCCGCCTTGGAGGAGACATGCTTTAGATTGTTTCTATTAGAGTTATAGGGTGGATAGTAAGAATAAAATCTGGGGCTGCAGAGATGGCTCAGTGGTTAAAAAAGCACTGACTGCTCTTCCAGAGGTCCTGAGTTCAATTCCCAGCAACCACATGGTGGTTCACAACCATCTGTAATGGGATCTGATGCCCTCTTCTGATGTGCATGAAGACAGCTACAGTGTGCTCACATACATGAAATAAATAAATAAATAAATAAATAAATAAATAAAAATAAAAAAGGATAAAATCTGTTCTGTTTATATTTTCTAATTGTAACTGAACTTGTAATCTTGCACGTGTTATAAATAATCAAACACATAATCAATACTTTTTCAATAATTATTAGTCTGCTTTTGTTCTGTGAAACTTCTATAAATAAAAAATTCCCTGATTGCTAGTCAGTCAGAGAAGCTAAATTTCCCTGCCCATGGCCTGACTCCCTCCCTCCTCCGTCCTCCTCTGACTCCTCCTTTCCTCTGCAGGCAGCCTGGGAAGCAACCCATCCCCCACCCCCAAGGCACTCAGGGGACAGGGTTACCTAGAACATGCCTCCTGGACACTCATGATGTGACCAGTGCAGGACAGGACCATGGTTAACCAGTCTAAAGTCAGTGGCAATCCTTGAAGAACTTAAGCTTGAGACAATCAGGCAGTGCCAAGCCTGGAGTTGGGAACCACACCATCCTAGGTAAGCCAGACACACACAAGCACCTGTTGTAGATTCAGACATGATTAGCCTGGCAAAGGCAACTATAGAGGGCCAAAGGGAGGGGTTTGTAGAGAAGGCACTAGTTTGGAGGCTCCTGGGCTGTTCAGCCTCTACCTTCTTATCTGCCACCTGGGGAGCACCTCTGCCACCTAGGGAGCACCACCTAGGGAGCATCTCAGGCCTTTTCCCACCTTATGGTATCCCTGCCTCTTCTGGCACAGGCAACCTGGAGTAGGTCAAGTATAAACCCAGGAGGCCTCCCTACCCAGAGTGTCCTTTCAAGAGATGGGCTCAGCTACCGTGTTGGACAGTCTGGGATATTCTTCCCTCCTTATGCTTGGCCTGGAAATAGGTCCAAGTCAGCAAAAGCCATTGTCCCACTAAGATTGCTGACACTAGTCTAGGTGAGCTGGGAGTTGCCCAGGGCTGTCATGAGGCTGTCATGGGAGCTGCTGGGGCCAGCTTACAAAGAGCAGGAGCCTTACGAGAGGGGAAGTCTGCAGCCTACATGCTTTAAAACAGAGTGCCCTGTTGTCTAGTTGGTCAAGCCAGGGATTCCCGGTTCTGCTGGTTAACTGAGTTCCTTTTCCATTATTTGTATCAAAAGTCTCTATATGACAAGACCCAGATTTTATAGAATGTTCTGGAATTCCGGTCCAAAGAACCCTCCTGCCACAGCCCCAGGGTATCCAGAAAGTAGGCGGTGGTGGTTCCTAGTCAACCACCTTCAGGTAAACTGTTCATTGCTAGTCACATTCAGTTACCTAAAACCTCTCTACTCGCCTGGGGCTGCCCAGTGGAAGTGCACTGTGAGCCTTACATGTGACTATATTTTCTAGTCACCACATCAGAAAATCAGTTAGGTCTTTAGGTGTGGTGGCTCATGCTTGTAATCCCAGCACTGGGGAGGCTAAGGCAGGAGGATTGCCGTGAGTTTGAGGCCAGCTTGGGCTACAGAGTGAGTTTCAGGCTAGCCAATACTACCTAGCAAGATCCTAACAGACAAAACAAAAAGACTCAGAGATGAAGGCTAAGAGACCATTGACTTCACTCAGTTATCCAAAGTCTGTCAGTTCAACATTCTTCAGTAGTCTAAGGGAGTGTCAGAGACCTCTCCTCACAGGCTGTCATTTGGAAAAGAGCAGAAAACTGACAGACAAGTCTGTAGTCAGTACTGTACTTCTGGATCAAACACACCAGTGGAAACAAACAAGCCAAACCAGTGTGATTTGGCTCTAAAAGGATTTAATACTGAAAGGCAACATACATACCATATATATATATATAATCTCTCTGTCTCTCTGTCTGTTTCTGTCTCTCTCTCTCTCTCTCTCTCTCTCTATATATATATATATATATATATATAT